CTAAAACTGTTGGTACTGCAGGAGGGCTGGCGATGAGCCGGAGTCGCCGCCCCGGGTGTTACCCCAGCCGGTCAGCTGACAGGGGGCCCCATTGGCCGGTTCGCTGTCGGCCAGTTGAACAGTGTCCACACGTCCGGGCACTTTGACCGTGGGTTGAGACAGTTTGAGCACCGAGTAGTCGTTGTCGAATTGGGGAGTGTTGTACTTCTCGTGTTGTCTCACTTCGGCCACGGGTACGGCTTTGTCCAGAGAGTTCACGTTCAGACCGCCGTATTTCACGGTCAAATCATCTTTGGTGAATCTGTTATGGTGGGAATTTACATTAGTTGTTTTTGATCAATTCTAATCTCATAAAGCAATATGCTATTTTTTGTAAGTTTAAAAAATATTTTGCAAACTGTACCTCTAAATATCAAAAGTTTACTTGACTAGATAAATAACAAAATTATAAACATATTGGTTTGCAAATCGGTCAACCTATTTTGCTAATTATAGTTAAATTATATTATGTACAAGTATATAGTGCAAACTAGCATCAGAAAAAATAACACAATAACAACTCTAGCAAAGTATTTATAAAAGGCAAAGTTCATGATGCTAAAATAATCGTATCAATACATACCCATCGGTACAGTGAGCGGCAGTGATGGCAAAACTGTCACCGTATAGGGAGCAGCCGCAAATGTGCTGGGTGCCAAACCATCCCGACGCCCACAACGAGCACTGGTGTTTGCCCTGTTCTTGGGTGGCCTCCACACCGCCGACGATACGGCCGCCAGCCCTCAGGCCAACCAACTCTAGCCTGGGCTCCAGCGACGCGCCGTTAGCGCCGGCCAAACACAGGGCCAGTAGTGTAACCGCAACTCCTCTCATGTTGTAATATTAATATTAAAAGTTTTAATTATTAATATTTAATGAAGATGATTTTTTGAGTGATATGCGGTCTAGTATTTATACCTAATTTTAAAGTGTGCTTTTTACATTGATTGTAAAATTTTATATGGTTATTTTTGCAATGATACCTCTGTTATATGGCCATATCCTGATTGTTATCAGGGTGATTTCTATGTCAAGGCGCATTTGGTGGTAATTTTAATGCAATTGTTATCTGGGTAATTAATTAATAAATTAGTAATAATTAAAATAACAGTTATTCTATTAATTAAAAAAATTAATAAATTTGTAAATAAGTTAACTAATTGTAAAATAGATGCACCAAGTAAAATGTTTTCTAAATAGTATTGTTATAGTATTGGCTATAAATATTACCAATAGAAAATTAGTTAATTAATTGTATAATTTATGAACATTGCAATGTTATAACGTAAGTAATATCGCACCCAATATTTGAGTTTATTGTTTAAACAATAATAATTGTTATCAAAAGTAAATGTTTTATTAAATTATTACTTATAAAAATTATTTGTTTAGAATTAACGTTTATTATGTGCTAAACAAAACTTTGTTACACGAATTGCAATAAATTCATAATAAAATGTTCTTAACACAAATTTTGAAAATTTATAATTTAATCATTGTATGAGTAAACACAAAAATAACTTATAAATTAATTACATTATGTAAATATCAATTATAAATATATATATTCTACCACCATGTGAGTCTATGTATTAATTTAAAATCAAGCTTAATAATTAAATGTTTTTTGTTTAGAAGGAATTAAGTTTTAAATCATTTGTTCAAATTATTAAATAATCATAATCATTATAAAAATTTTCTAGACGTGTTTTTGAATAAAGAATTTAGTAGGCATTTATAACTAGCATTTTACAACACGTTCAAATTACTTTTATTGTTACTCAAATCCGGGTAATTTAGTAATTAAAAGTACACTTTGGTACTTTAATAAAATTATGTTTATAAATAAGTTAGTCATGTAATTATTTTTTGTGATACTTATTACAAAAGTTGTTTGTATTATTTGTCAATTCACACGTAATAAATACAATAAAAAATACAATCCATTTGTGGTATAAAAAAACAATAATGAAAACAAAATTAAGTTTCAGTAAAAAATCAATTGTTGTTATAATACTTGGCTTTCACTCAATGCTTGACAACAAATATGTAATGAGTTTTAAAATTATATTTTTAATAATATTTAAATTAAAAGTTTATTTTATAATTTGTACTGGTATTAAAATAAGAAAAATTAATTTATTTATGAAATAAAACACATTTAATTTGATAGATATAAACATTTCTATCAATTTGTTTGAAAAATTAAAATTGAATTAAAATTAGTTTCTAAAAATCAATACAAATGAAGTTTGAAAAACATTTTCAAATTAAAAGTAATGTAAATTCAGTGAAATACAAACAAAAAGCATTTAATTAATAGTTATTATTTCGAAAACAACTTCTTCTCATTGTTTTCAATGATTTCAATTGTCTTGAGT